GAAGGGGAACAATAGGTTTTGATATATTTTTGCATCATGGGCCATCGTAGGAGAAACAGCTAGTATTGTGTTGGTGTGTCTGAGGGTGGGGCAGTGGGAGTCCTGTCAGAGCTTTGTGAGCCCTTTTTTCTGCTCTGAGTGCAGAATTTTGAGTGGAGGAGAAAGATCACTTGCAGCAGTAGTATTCAAAATTGTGTCTAGAAATAAGTTTGTTTAAGTACTATACTATATACGTACAAACACACACACAGTATGTGATTCACCAGTCCTATCAGACATTAAATCCATTTAAAATTGGTAATAATTAAAATGAGATGTTTGTGGTACAAAAGACAACCTTGGTCATAGGGCCAGACCAGGTGGAGTCAAATTTTGTATTCTCCAAAGGAAACAAAACAATTTGAAAGATGAGGATTATTTAATAGGCCACCATTTAGATCATTTGTCTTACTCAAAATTAAAAACTTAGAGGTAAAATAAACTACTACAGAATGTATCAAAATGGCAAATATAAAACTATATTAAACATGAATTTAGCTAGGATGGCACACACCTCTATAATTCCAGCATTCAGGGGGCTGAGGCAAATCAGCAGCTCAGGACCATTTTGGGCTACATAGAAAGTTTCAGGACAAGTTAGGCTTCATAGAAATATCCTGTCTCAAAATTGTATATTATATAAAAATTTAAATTGGTATATTCAAAAATAGAATGGTCACAAATCAGATATATGAAAACAGGACTAATTTTCATGTTTACAAAAAATGGAATAGTAAAGGTGAAAAGACACATGTTGTTATATACAAGTTTTTAATTTTTTATTTATTATTTTTAGTTTATGTGTATGAGTGTATTACCTACATGCATGTAAGTGCACCCATGTCATGCAATGCCCACAGAGGTCAGAAGAGGGCATTGAATCCACTGCAACTGGAGTTACAGATGGTTGTTAGCAACAGTGTGGGTGCTGGGAACCAAACCTGGGTCCTCTGTAAGAACAGCCAGTGCTCTTAACTGCTAAGATATCTCTCCAGCCCACATAATGCTGGGATTACATAGGTGTGTTTTAAACTTTTTAATGTCAATAAGATGAAATTATATATTAAAATAAGAAGTCTTATTTTATAATTGACAAATTATTCTTAATGTGAAAATGGGTAATTTCAGGTTTGTTTATATCTTGTTAGTTTAATTTTTCTTAAATCTAAAAGCCTAATTTACGTTATCAGCCTGTAAAAGAATTCACCCATGAATGAATGGGTGTGAATTTCAAGTGACAAAACAATCCAAATACTATAAATCTCAGCCTTTATCAGAGAAATGATAAACTAAAATAGATGTTTTCATTTGTGAGTTTCCCAAAATGTCAAATGACAGCCATCCTGTGTGCCATGCTGGCATCCACACAAAATGAAGAATTATTTTTGTAAATAGTTTCTCCATCTGCACTTGTAAATAGTAATATTTAGGTGCTGCTTAAGCCAGTCAATTTCTAGAATTCTCTTTTAAAGAAATTGTTCAAAATAGTATTTTTTGCATAAGAAGATATTTAATACTCACTTATAATAACCAAAATTTAACCTTAGAGTAAGTGAATGTTTGGTGGGGTAATATATGCCCACCAATAATCAAGTTTACAAAGAATGTGCCACAAAATAAGAAGTGTTACAGTTCAAAGTGACAGAGGTGTGCCATCTTACATTCCTGCAGACCTGTAATGCACAGATGGCCAGAGGAAGAGGTGTCAGAGCTGATTTGTCAGAATGAGACGGCAGCATTCAAGTGATTTTCTTCCACTTCCAATTTTCTGCATTTACCTTCAAAAGCTTGACCTGAATAGGTTAAAAACATTATATTTCTTCTATGAATGTCATAATGTTTCTCAACATTTATTTAGTTATTTAGTCATTTTTGAGACAGGATTTAATTGTATAAAATGAGGTGGACCTGGAACTAGGTGCTATATCCCAGGCTGGGCTCAAACCCCAGCACTTCCTGCTTCATCCTCCTAAGTGTTGGGATTAGAGTGCACCATCACACCTGACCTCAAATATTAATATTGTAAACATCCGTATCACACACCTTACACTACTTATATTAGAGAACCAGAATACTGGATATGAAAAAGTTTCAAAGGCCCCATCTCTACAGAGGATCCACACATTTTTCAAAATGTATTCGACCAACTGAAAAGAACAAAATCCCTTTGGATGAATCAGAAATAACAAAAGTAATACCTTAAACATTTATTTCTTTATGAGTCCTTATTATCATCATCATGAGAGAGAACTCAGTCCATTATACAAGTACTATTTCAAAAACATCTCCAGTGACTATTATAAAAGGTGAGCCACATTTACTGCACGATGAATAGTATTCAAACACCATTCTCCAAGTTCACAGCATTTTATCAGAAGCCCAAGGTTCTGTGGATAAAGGAACACTGCTTCTTAGCCGATTGTCATGTTCAACACACAGCTGCATGAACCGTAATGATTCTCACTGAACTGTCCTCCAGGAGTTTTTATGCAGATGGTAGAACATAAACACTTTGTCACAGATGCATGAACACACACCATGGGTTCATGACAGAAGGAGGCAGGGGCAGACTTTAGAATTGGGCAGGTGTGCTCCTCACACTGGGGCTCAGCATTAGAACAAGGTAAAATGGCATGCTTATAAGAACCAGTGTGATGGGCAGCAAGCTGGGACTTCCAGGTTTCATGATGACTATAGGGTCTCCTTGATTTGCATGAAATTTATTATAAATCTCTTTTTAATCAGTCTTTTAGCATTTTTAAGATTTATTTTTATTTTATGTATGTGAGCTTTGTTTGCATTTTTGTTTTATGTATATGAGTGTTTTATTTGATGTAGGTGCACCAGTGTCATGCAATGCCTATGGAGGCCAGAAGAGAGCATAGGATCTCTTGGAACTGGAGTTATGTGGTTCTGAGCCACCAAGTAGGTGCTAGGAACCAAGCCCAGGTCCTCTGCAAGAAGAGTTAGTGTTCTTAAGTGCTAAGCCATCTCTCCAGCCTCAGTCCTTTAACATTTAATAAAGCTGAGGAATGGGCATGAAATTCAGAGGGAGTATGTATGTGCTCCACAGAAATTATTCTATTTTGTTGTAGAATAGAGCTCACAGTCCCTCAGGTCAGGTCTGAGGGAGCATTAAAGAAGGTGTGAGCATCTTTGCTGATGTCTTCACACAGCCAAGTGTGCTGTGAAGCCTTCAAGTCTCCTCAGTGTGCAAGGAACTTATCAGAAGAGCAAGGTTCTCAGATGTGCCACTCACTTAGGTGGACTCCTGTTCCTCTTTACCCTGGTTGTTTTCCCCACTTCCCTATCTATAGGGAGATCAGTAAATAACTCCAAACACAAGGTTCTTAATAAAGAGTCAAGCCAGAAAGCTCCAATAGTTCCTTGTGCTGGCGGGGGGGGGGGCTGTATTAAAACACTGTTAGGTCCTTTGGGGACGAACACAGTTTGCTGAAATGTTAGCTGCTCTCTGCTGTCATTCTAACAGTGAAATCTTACTGATTTATTCACATTATTGTGACACTGATCTTGAGATTCAGGCTGCATTCACAGGGATCAGTAACAGCATATCACCTCCCAAGCAGGATCAGGATTCTGAAGATGATTGGATTTCTGGCTTTTCAGGTCAGCTGCTCAGATGTTGCATTTTCTTTTGCCCTCTAATTCCTTTTCTACCCAGTCACCAAAGGACTAAGCCATATGGGCCTTTTTTGAATGTTTCTTTCTCCTCTCATGAGTTCCTTCTAATTCTTCTGCTCTATTCCGTCATCTCTCCTTTCTGTATTTACCTCTGACCACTCAACCCGGAGAGTACTTTTGTCAAAGAATATTCATTAATGTGCTAATTTTTTCTGTCACAGAGATACTTACACATCAACGTTTGCTTTTATGCTACTAACCTAGGTGTCCGATAACAGAGGAATGGGTGAAATGTGGTATACATACCCACACAACAGAGCTGTTTTCTGTCACAAAGAATAAAGTTATCTTGTCTACAGGACAATGGATGCTACAGAAGATAATTGTGTTAGAGCAATTCAGCCAGTTTCAGGAAGACATCCTTCCTCTCATTCGTGATATCTAGATGTTATATAGATACCTAAAATCATGTACATAGACATGACATAAAAATAGAATTGAAGTTGTCAAAGAACATGGAACTAACAGCTGGTAGAGAAAGCAGAGGGAAGAGCCTATGGGGGTACAATTCATATTTGTATGAACTTGTCCCTGTGCAATGCAATACCATGTGTGATAAAGATATGCAATGAATATATTTATTTCCTAATATTTTATTTATTATTTTTATTTTATGTGTAAGAGTGTATTATCTGCATGTACGGAAGTGAAGTCATGTTGTGGAGTGCCCACGGAGGTCAGAAGAGGGTTTTGGATGCCCTGGAACGGGAATTATGAATGGTTGTTAGCTACCAAAGGGAATTGAACTTGGGCCCTCTTCAAGAACAGGCAGTGCTCTTAACTGCTGAGCCATTTCTCCACAATGAATACTTTTGAAGAAATAAATTTTAAGGTTGCTTTTCTGAGAACATATCACTTATTCTACCTGTGACTTTCGAAGCCCACGAAGATGATAGTGAACCGGGCTCTTCAATGTCTTTTCCCATGTCTTCCTTTCCATGTACCTTCTGCTTAAATATAGGTGCTACCCTGCCTCTGTGCTTTCAGCCAAGCTTGGACTATTCCCCGGTGTCTTCATTCTCTGCCCCTTCCTTCAGCATCATACGTCCAAGAGATTCTCTCTGAGCCCCCAAACACTTTCATTGGTGACACCGTCTTTCAGAGCTCTGCCCTTTCAGCCATACCTGTTTGTATCCTGAATTAAGATTTTAGAAGCAAAACTTATGTCCCCTCCCCAAGTAACTGGCTTGGTGGTTTAACACAGTAAACACTCAGATATTTGCTGAATGCCTGGTGATGTTTTTCCTTTTCTTTTTCAGTGGCACCACCCCCCTATAGTTATGACCACGAGATGGAATACTGTGCAGACTTGCCTCCTCCATACTCCCCGGCCCCACAAGCTTCAGCCCAACGCTCTCCACCTCCTCCTTATCCTGGAAATTCAAGGAAATAATCCTCCTCCCAGAATGGAATATGTGCCAACCAGCAATTTTGCTCAGAACAAAATGCCTCAATTTGGAAATATGCAGAAAAAGATTGCTCTACTGTTTAGGGTCAGATAATATATGCTCATGTTGGGGGACATGTGGTTCCTACCCTGCTCAGAGCCAACCCTACATGGAGAAGTACTTTTGTTTCTATGGAGCAACATTTTATGTGATCTACTGATCCCCTCAAGCACATGCAGAGAAAAACAACACAATTGCCTATCTGACAATTATGCTGTTTTAGCTGAAGAAAACTTCAGTATTGATCTTGGAGTCAAGAAGCCCAAAGAATAGTCTGACCTGCATCAGGAAGCAGCTCTGTCCACATGGCTTTCAGAGAACTAGAACTGTTCGTTATTTCATTCATCCCCAAATATGTATTAAGTGCCTGAGAGCCTGCCTTGTGCCTGGCAGCCATAGAGGCACTGGGCAGAAGTAACCGGAAGGGAACTTTGATTTTAGCACAGGCGTACCTCATTTTGTTGCACTTTGCTCTACTGCACTTTGCAGACATTGCATCTTTTACAAACTGAAGATTTGTGGTAACCCTACACCAAGGAGCGCCACTTCCCCAGCAGTATGAACGACTTCATATATCTTTATATCACTTTTTGTAATTCTCATAATATTTCAAACTTTTTCATTTACTAGTATTATACCATTATGGTAATCTGTGGCTCGAGATCTTCGATGTTGCTATAGTAGTTGTTTTGTTTGGGTATCATGAACTATGCCCATATAAGTCAATGAGCTTAGTAGACTGATACATTGTGTGTGTTGGATATGCACTACTGAATGGGTTCTCTCTCTCTCTCTCTCTCTCTCTCTCTCTCTCTCTCTCTCTCCTCCCTCCCTCTCTTCTGTTCTCCCTGTGTTTCTCACCTTGAGCCTTGAGCCTTCTTATTCCCTTAGAACAATATTGGAATATAATGACCCTATAACCCTCCAATAAGCTCTGAGTGTTCAAGCTACAGGAAGAGTGGCACATCGCTCATTTTGAAACAAAAGCTGAAAATTATTCATCTCGGATAGGAAGGCATGTCAAAGGCTGCAATAGGCTGGAAAGCTGGCCTCTGATAGCAAGCAATAAGCCAAATTGTAAATGCAAATAAGGATTTCTTGAAAGAAAGTGAAAAATGCCTCTCTCTAAATACATCGATAAGAGAGAGAGACAGAGAGAGAGAGAGAGAGAGACAGAGAGAGAGAGTCCCATTGCTTATATGGAGGAAGCTTTAGTAGATAGATCAAACCACCACATTTTCTCAGTCCAAAAAGCTTAATCAGAGCAAAGGTCTAACCTCAGTTCTGTTAAGGTAAGTGAAGACACTATATGAGAAACCTTCAAAGGAAGGTAGCAGAGGTCGGATCAGGAGGTTTAAGTTTCCGAAATGAGCCACCTCTGTGAATGGAATGCAAGGTGAAGTGGCAGGTGCTACTGTACAGGCTGTAGCCAGTTAGTTAAAGACTTGGTTAGGATCATACATGCAGATGACCACAGTAAATGATAAAATCTCCATGTAAATGAAAAGCCCTACTACTGGAAGAACTTTCATCGACAGGGAGAAGCAGTCATCTTGACTTCAAAGCTTCAGAAGGCAGACTGGCTCTCTTACTGGTGTCTAATACGACTAGTGACTTTCAGCTGAAGCTAATGCTCCATTATCCTTTACTATTCAAAAATCCTCATACCCTCAAGAGTTATACTAAAACTGCCCTGCCCACACTTTATAAATATAACAACAAAATCTGTTTTCAGTGTTGTTTACTGAATATTTTAAGCCAAGTATTGAGATCTACAGCTCAGGGATAAAAAAAGATTTCTTATGAAACATTACTGCTCATTGACAATGCACCTGCTCATCCACACACTCTGATGGAGAGGCTAAAGGACAAAGTGTTTTCATGCCTACTAATACAAAGCCTACTCTATCCCACATACTATGGGTAACTTTACCTTTCAAGTCTTACTGTTTAATAACTGCATTTTATAAGGTCGTAGCTGCCAGAGAAATTGATTCTTGTGATAGCCTGACAAAAGTAATTGAAAACATCTTGGAAAGGATTTACCATTTTAGATGCCTTTAGGTTCATTCATGAGTCATGAAAAGATGTCAGAATATCAGTATTAACATGAGTTTGAAAGAAGTAGATTTTAATCCTCAATGCATAGTTTTGACAATTTCAAGGCTTCAGTGGAGGAAATATCTACAGATATGGTAGGACAACAAGGGAACTGGAATTAGAGATGAAGCTTGAGGATGTAACTCAATCTCATGATATGTCCCCCAGATGTGCAGTTGGTGCTTAGGGGTGAACAATGACAGTGGTTTCTTGAGATGAACTCTACTCCTGGTGAAGGCTTTGTAGAGATCTGTTGAGATAACAGCACAGAGTTTAGAGTATTACAAAAACTGATTCAATAAATCAGCAACCAGGTTTGAGATGACTGACCACAAATCTGAAGGAAGATACACTGTCAATTAAAAGCCATCAAAGAGCATCCCAAGCTACAGAGAACCATTTTGTGAAAAGAAAAATCAATCCCTGCATCAAACTTTGCTCTCATTTTATTTTAAATAATTGGTACAACCAACTTTCTAACTGCAGCAACCACCACAACCAGTCAATAGCCACCATCCCAACACCAGCAAAAATATTTGGCTTACTGAAAGCTCAGATGGTCCAACAATATAGTATTTTTAATTAGGGTAGATAAATTATTTTATAGACATTTAATAAACTAAGTTGTAATCTAAACAAAACTTTAATATGCACTAGTAAACAAAAAAAGTATTCATGTGATTCTCTTGTGGAATTTGCTTTATATAAAAAGAGGTACATTCTCATTGGCTACAAGGAAAATGTTTTAGTGAATGGGTAGAAGATCAAACCCACAATATCTCCAAGGTTCACCTATCTATAAGCAACAGTTGCAGCTTTCCTGTTGGCTAGATTGCTTTGTGAAGATCCCTCTTATCATGATTCCAAAGTCTGGCTATGTAGAAAAGAAATGTTCTAGAAGGGATATCTAAATAAAATGGCAGATGCATCCTTGTATTCTCCAAAGTTTTGCTCATGTTTTAGGTATGTGTGAAGTGAATTTCTGTGTCTCAGGAATGAAAACAACAACTGAATCTATTCATTTAATTCAGTTGTTCAAACAAAATCAAAGGCATTCAATAAGTTCTGGAAACCAAGATCAATTCAGTGATAATTACTCCCTCCGCAAAATCATCTGGCTTTAGGCACTGGAGTATGACAAAGGTTTTTCCAACTGTGGGGGAAATGATGTCCCTTCACATGCAGCACATGCTACTTTTTAGAGTAAAAGATATGAAACCAACTGTTTCCAGGGACTCTATATCAGGTAGCAAAATTACAGAACTTGATCATGAAAATACAAAACAGACTTACAAAAGGAGAAAATAAAATTTGAATTCTCTCTGTAAAAATCTGCTCAAATATAACTGAGATATTTTGTTTCTCCTAAAATTTTCATAATTTATTCTCTTAAAAAAGTGATATGCAGTTAATGGAAATGGCAAGAAGATACTGCATTCATATTGTTGCCTTTTACCAAAACACACATTTTATAAAGTGCCTATCTTTAGATGTGAAAGCATCAATAATTCAAACAGGCAAATGTTTGCTACAAGTGACCCTCACATTTGTATTTATTTTTATGTGGGTCCTTTACTTTAAAATTATATATTGAGCATTGGGGATAGATGTTTGGACTTTTATGTCACTTTACAAGTAAACCTAAATTATTTAGTCCAATACCATGGTTAAAATTCAGTGAAATTTTGATAAATAACCAAAAGAAAATATTTTAAGCTACAAATTATAGTAACTGTACTTCTAGCTAAGAAACTTAATAGATGATGTATCTTTTGCCTTCAGATACCTATGTTAGAAATGCATTGATCTGACTGAACATGGTCTTTCAGTAAGGTCTAAAAGCTAGATTTGTTTTGAATGGCTTGCTTGGTTTGGGCATGGATGATCTTGGAAAAAGGTGAAGCCTTCTGGGTTTCCCAGCTATTCTAGTGAGAAGATCCTGACTCACATGAAAAGTTAGCATAGTATTAATAGTACACACGCTCTAATTTACTTTTCTTCTGCATATGTGATCAGACTCAATTACACTACAGCTATGATTCAAAGTACCAGATTCTCTGTGACTTTGAGAATGTTGGTTGCAAATGCACAACACGTTCCTTAAGAAAAATTAGGAGGAAAGTCCATGAAAATTGAATTCTCATCATCTTCACCACCAATAAACATTGATTGTCTGCCCCCTATGCTCTATAAATATTATCCACACAGGAGCCATTTCTGTATGCACTATCTCTCTTCTCTGGGTTGTTTACAGTCTTCCCTGAGGTATGGCACAAACTTATATATTTACAATCGATGACAGGTTTTTTACTTTTTTATTTAGCATCATATAAACATAAATGCACACATTATAGACATCTAAAGTTCAGTGATTATTTTCACAAATGATGCATATAGGAGGAAAAAGTATATTATGTGAAAGTTTGGACTATAGTTATTTAAAAACTAACATGTTTGCTGTGACCAAATTGTTTGCAATAAGTAATAAAATAAAAAACTCATTATTATAGAAACTGTGTTGTGTCATTATTTTTTCCTACTTTCTTTTCCTGCTGTGTGTGTATTTCATACAGAACATCCAAAACAATCTTATTCATCTTTACACCCACATCCCAAATGACACCCTCACTTACCCCGCTCCAACAGGAGCCTTTATACTCTATCATCCCTGTTACTTTCCACTATGTAGTCAGTGCCCCCAGCCATTACCAGTTCTTGAGTCTACTCAGCCTATCTAGAGTATCTTGTTTTAGGAAGATCAGCTCTTCCTCATCTAGCAGCAATCAGTTGCCAACATTTTTATAGATAAGATTGGGATCTGCTGTTCATTTTCCCCGTTCTATGCTGGGTTACTGTCTGGGAGTCAAATGTTTCCTCTGTGTTGACTCTCCTCTTTGTAAACACTGGTTCAAGTCTATCTGGTAGGGTCTCCATGGCCTCTTGATCAAGAGGACAGATGACTCGCCACAGTTGCAGGACATTTTGAGAGATGCTCCATATTCTTCTGAAACTTAGTCGACCTTGGAGGGTAAGGAGCAAAAACTGTCCTTTAAGACGCTCTGACCAGATTAGTATAGGCCTCAAAGTATGGCTCTTAAACATCCAAGAAGGTTAGTTCCACCAGTCTGGTACATTTAATTACCATGCACTTTGTAGATAAAGCTTGGGCAAAAACCAAATGTTCTCAGATAAAACTTGACTAGACATACATTATGTTCCTTGAGCTAACTGTATGTGTAATTTGTCAGCAGGTTGTTTGACTAATACGGTTCCCTCTGATTTTTTTTAAACTACCTAGGCATTATTAATATCTCTCATTGTCTAACCCTTCCACCATAGTTTCCCCATTTTTTTCCCATTTCTCCCTCAATAGTACCTTTCTCCGATGGTCCCTCCTCTCTTGGACTCCTTCTTTCCCTTTATCCCCAAGGTTACTTGAATAACCTTCCCTCCCGCTCCCATTAAAATACTCCATTTTTATCCGTATCACCCTTATTAACACCTGTTTCCTACTATTCTTCTCTTTCAGGTTCTTTCTTTTCCTTTACCTTCCTGGCTCCTTTTCATTATCCTGGTTCCTGTGGTTATGTCTAGATACTCACTTATAAGGATTTGGTGCTAGGATCCACATATGAGGGAGAACATACATCATTTGTTTTTCTGGGTCTGTGTTACTTCACTTAGTATAACAGTTTCTATTTCCATTCATTTACCTGCAAATTTCATGATTTCATCTTTCTTTACTGCTAAGTAAAACTCCATCGTATAAATGAGCCACATTTTCATTATATACTCGTCAGTTGAGGGTCATTTAGGTTGCTTCCATCTCTTAGCTATTGTGAAAAGGGCAGCAACAAACATGGATGTACAAGTAAGTGTTTTTGCAATAGGATGAGTTCCCTGGGTATGTGCCAAGGAGTGGGATAACTGGGTCAAATGGTAGGCTCAATTTTAGTTTTTTAAGAGTTCTCCACACTGCTTTAAATAGGGGTTGAAAAATTTTGCAATCCCACCAAGCAGTGGATGAGCGTTCCCCTTTCCCCACATCCTCTCCAACATTTGGTACCATTTGTTCTCTTGATCTTAGCCAGTCTGACTGGGGTAAGATGAAATCTTAAAGTGGTTTTAATTTGCATTTCCCTAATTATTAATGATGTTGAATACCTTTTAAAGTGCTTCTTAGCCATCTTTATTTCTTCTTTTGAGAACTATCTGTTCAGTTCCTTAGCCCATCTTTTAATTGGCTTACTTCCTTTCTTGATTCTTTGTTTTTTGAGTGTGTTATATATTCTGGATGTTAAACCTCTGTCAGATGTGTCACTGGTGAAGATTTTCTCCCATTCTGTGGGTTTTCTCTTCACTTCCTTGGTTTCTCCTTTTGATGTACAGAAGCTTTTCAGTTTAATGAGGTCCCATTTGTTGATTCTTAACCTTGCTTCTGAGCACTTGATGTCCAGCTTAGAAAATACTTTCATGTACATATATCTTGTAGGCTGTTGCCAATGTTTTCTTCTAACAGTTTCAGAGTTTCAAGCATTACATTGATGTCTTTGATCCATTTGGAGTTGACTTTTGTGCAAGGTGAAAGGGGTTTAGTTTCATTCTTCTACAGGTGGAGATCCAGTTTTGGCAGGATCATTTGCTGAACATGCTGTCTTTCCTCCAGTGAATATTCTTGGACCCTTTGTCAAATAGCAGGTGGCTGAAATTGCATGTATTCATATTTGAGTCTTTAATTTTGTTACATTGATCTATGGGTTTATTTTTGTGCTGGTACCATGTTGTTTTTATGACTATAGCTCTGTGATACAGTTTAAAATCTGGTATAGTAATTCCCCCAGCATTGCTCTTTATGCTCCGTGTTGCTTTGGCCATCTGAGGTCCTTTGTGCTTCCATATGAATCTTATGGGTTTTTTTTTTCAATTCTGTGAAGAATGTCATGGGGATTTTTTTTTGATTGGCATTGCATTTAATCTATAAATGGCTTTTGGTAGGATAGTCATTTTCACAATATTAATTCTTCCAATCCATGAGCATAGGAGGTCCTTCCATCTTCTGATGTCTTCCTCAATCTCTTTCTTTAAAGCCTTAAATTTTCATTGTAGAGGTCTTTAACATCTTTGGTCAGGTTTACTCTGAGATTTTTTTTTTGAGGCTATTATGAAAGGGAGTGTTTCCATTTACTCTCTCTCTCTCTCTCTCTCTCTCTCTCTCTCTGATTGCTTGTTATTGGTATATAGAAAGGCTACAGACTTCTGTAGAATAACTTTGAAACTTGCCACTTTACTGAACATGTTAATCATTTCTAGGAGTTTTCTGGTGGAATTTTTGGCATCTCTTAGATATAATATCACATAGTCTACAAAAAGGGATCATTCGACCTGTTCTTTTCCAATTATTACTCCTTTAATTTCTTTCTTGTCTTATTGCTCTTGGAAGACTTTCAAGCACTATGTTAAAAAGGAGTAGAGATGGTGGACAGCCTTGTCTGGTTCCTGATTTCAATGGGAATGTTTCAAATTTTTTCCCATTTAGAATGATGTTGGCTGTGGGTCTGTTGTATGTGGCTTTAATTATGTTGAGGTATGTTCCCTACAGTCCAATTCCCTCTAGGACTTTGAACATAAATTCATGTTGAATTCTGCCAAAGGCCTTCTCTGCATCTATTGAGATGACCATGTGGTTCTTGTCTTTGAGTCCATTTATATGATTTATGATGTTTATTGACTTACATATGTTGAACCATCCCTGTATCTCTGGAATAAAGCTGAATTGTTCATTGTGGATGATCTCTTTGATGTGTGTCTGTATTCAGTTCGCAAGCATTTAGTTGAGAATTTTTTCATCTGTGTTCAGTAAGCATATGGCTCTATAGTCTTCATTTTTGGTTGCATTTTTATCTGGTTTTGGTCTTAGAGTGATGCTGGCTTCATAGAAGGAATTTGGAAGTTTTCCCTCCATTTCTACCTTTTTGAATAAATTAAGTAGTATTGGATATAGATCGTCTTTAAATGTCTGATAGAATTCTGCTGTAAATCCATCTGGTCCTGGGCTTTTTTTAGTCAGGAGGTTTTTGTATTACTGTTTCAATTTCCTTATATGCTATAGGTCTGTTTCTGTTGGTCTCTTCTCTGTTTAACTTTAGTGGTTCCCATGATTTTAGATATCCATTCATTTCTTTTAGATTTTCAAATTTAGTAGTGTATAGGTTTTTAAAGTATTCCCTTATAATGTTCTGGACCTTTTTTGTGTCTGTTGTGATGTTTCCCCTTTCATCTCTGATCTGGAGGTGCTCTTTCTTTCTTTTGGTTAACTGGGCTAGGGCTCTGTCAATCTTGTTTATCTTTTCAAAGAACAAGCTCTTGGATCCATTGATTCTTTGTATTGTTTTCTTTGTTTCTATTTCATTAATTTCTGCTCTGAGTTTTGTTAATTTCTTCTTGTCTGCAGGGTTTGAGTTTCGTTTGTTGTTGCTTTTCAAGTGTCTTGAGTTGCAATGTTAAGTCATTTATTTGTGTTCTTTCTGATTTTTTAATGAAGGCACTTAGAGCTATAAACTTCCATCTACAGACTACTTTCAATGTATCCCAGAGGTTTTGTTGTGTTGTCTTTTTCATTTAGTTCCAAGAATACTTTTATTTCTTTCTTAATTTCTCCTTTGACTCATTCATCATTCAGGAGTGTGTTGTTTAATCTCCACGTGTTCATGTAGTTACTAGGGTTTCTTCTGTTGTTCATTGTAAGCTTTATTGCATTGCGGTCTGATAGAATACATGGAATTATTTCAATTGTTTTGTATTTGTTGAGGTTTGTTTTGTGCCCCAGTATGTGGTTGATTTTGGAGAAAGTTCCATGTGGTGCTGAGTAGAAAGTATATTCATTGGTGTCTGGGTAAAATATTTGGTAGATGTCTGTTAGGTCCATTTGATGCATGGTATTGTTTAATTCAGATGTCTCTCTGTTAATTCTCTGTCAGGTTGACCTATCTAATGGTGACAATGGGGTATGGAAGTCCCCTACTATTAATGAGTTGGGATTAATCTGGGTCTTAAAGTCCTATAGTACTGTTTTTATGTAGTTGGGTGCACCAGAGTTTGGTGAATATATGTTCATGATTGTAATATCTTCCTGGTTAACTATGCCTTTGGATCAGAATGCAGTAGCCCTCTTTATTCCTTCTGATTAGTTTTAGTTTGAAGTCTATTTTGTCATATATTAGAATTGCAATGCTTGCTTTTTTCTTAGTACCATTTGCTTGGAATATTTTTTCCATCCTTTCACCTTAAGGTGGTACCTGTCCTTGAAAGTGAGATGGGTTTCTTGCAGACAACAAAATGATGGGTTTTGGTTCTTAATGCATTCAACTAGTCTGTGTCTTTTGATACAATGGACTGTGTCAGTCCATTGATATTTAAAATTATTAATGAAAGATGTCTATTGATTGCTGTCGTTTTGATTTCTGTTCACATTCTTAGTGTAGCTGTGCATTTCCACGGTTACACCTTCAT